TTGCCCATTTTTTTGGTTGGGTCTTTCATTGTGGGGGGGGTCTAACTTTTTTGATTTCCTTATATATATAAGTTATTGATTTTCTGTTTGAGGAGTAGCTGGTAAAACAATCTTTCCATTCTGTAGGTGGTCTCTTCACTCTGTTGGCTGTTTCTTTTGCTATGCAGAAGCCTCTTAATTTGATATAATTCCATTTGATCCTTGATATTATATCTTGTGCAACTGAGATTCTGTTTAGGAAGTCCTTGCCTATGCCTATGTCTTCAAGATTTTTAACAATATTTTATTCCAGCATATCCAGTGTTTCTATTTTCATACTTAGGATTTTGATTAGTTTTGATTTGATTTTAGTACAGGGCGAGAGACATGGGGCTTGATTCATTCTTGTGCATGTGGATAACCAGTTTTCCTAGCACAGTTTGTTAAAAGAGGTTATCTTTTCTCTACTGTATGTTTTTGCCCTTTTGTCAAAAATTAATGGCTGAGGGTCCTTGGATTGTTTCTGCATCCTCAGTTCTATTCCACTGTTCAATATGTCCATTTTTGTGCTAGTATCATGTTGTTTTTATTACTGTAACCTTGTATAACTTGGAGTTTAGAATTATAATGCTTCTTGCTTTTCTCTTATTGATCAAAATTGCTTTAGCTATTCTGGGTCTCTTCTAGTTTCATATAAATTTTGGGATTGTTTTTTCTACTTCTGTGAAAAGTGTTTATGGTATTTTGATTGAAATTGCATCAAATCTGTATATCGTTTTTGTTAATATGGCTATTTTGATCATATTGATTCTGCCTACCCAGGAATAGCAGATGTTTTTCCACTTTCTAATGTCCTCTTCAACCTCTTTTTTTTTTTCAGAGTGCTATAGTTTTAGTTATAGACGTCTTTCACTTCTTCATTGACTTAATTCCTAGGTATCTAATGTTTTTTAAGATACCATGAATGGTGTTATGGGTTGTGTCTAGATGTACCCCCAAAGCCTCATGTAGTCATGGGGGGTGGTTTAAGAGGTGGCTGGATCTAGAGTGTGTGATGCTGGCATTAAGTGTTTCATGCTAGGATTAAGAGCTGTGTGATTATTAAATTAGTCTACTGATTGGTTTGGTCTAGTTCTGAGTGTGGATAATGGGAAGACCCATCCTGGGTGTGAGTGCTACCTGCCCTAAGGGCGTGCAGCCTGTATTCTATGCTGCCACTTGTTGCTTTGCTGCCTCTTCACAACTTTGCTGCTTTGCTGCTTTCTGCCACCATGAACTGTTTCTCCTCTGTGGTGCTCCTTAGTTGTGCAACCCTGTCTTTGAGCCAGCCTACTATAAATGGAAACCTCTACAAACCGTGAGCCAAAATAAACCTTTTCTTCTTTAACTTTGGGTGTCAGGTATTTTGTCTTAGCAATGAGAAAAGTAACTAAGACAAATGGGATTGTTTTCCAGATTCCTTTTTGTGGGTTTATTTTTTTGTGTACAGGATTGTTGTGTATTTATTTGTATGTTGCCACTTTGATGAATTTGTTTATTAGCTCTGACAATCTTCTGGTGGAGTTTATTAGGTTTTCCATGTAAAGGGTCATGTCATGTGCAAATATGGACAGCTTGACTTCTTCCTTTCCATCTATTTCTCTTGCCTGATTGCTCTAAGGTTTGAGTGCTGTATTGAACAGGAGTGGTGAGAATGAACACTGTTGTCTTGTTCCTGATTTTAGAGGAAATGGTTTCAGGTTTTCCCTATGCAGTATAATGTTGGCAGTGGGTTTGTTGTAAATGGCTTTTACCTGTTTGAGGTAAGGTCTTTTTATATCTGTTTTTGTTAGGATTTTATCAAAGGCTTTTTCTGCATCTATTGAAATGACCATGTGATTTTTATCTTTACATTTATTTATTTACCTATGTTGAACCATCTTTGCATCACTGAAATGAAGCTGACTTGGTCAGAATGTGTGACCTTTTAATGATTTGATGCATTCTGTTTGTAAGTATCTTGTGAGGATTTCTGTATCTATATTCATTAAAGAAATTGGCTTCTAGTTTTCTTTGTCTGATTTTGTATCAGGGTAATGCTAGCTTCAAGGAATGAGTTTGGAAGTTTTCCCTCCCTTCAATTTTATGGAAGAGTTTGAGATGTATTGACATTAGTTCTTCCTTGAAATTCTGGTAAAACTTAGCAGCGAATCCTTCAGGTCCTGGGCTTTTTTTAGTTGGTAGGTTTTTTAAAAAAAATTACTGCCTCTATTTTCATTCCCTGTTATTGGTCTCCTCAGAATTTTTATATTGGTTCAGTTTTGATAATTCATATGTGTCTAGGAATTTATCCATTTCTTTGAGAGTCTCCAATTTACTGGAATATAAAATTTCAAAATAGTTTCTTTTAATTCTCTGAATGTCAATATTATCTGTTGTGATTTTGCTATTTTAATTTCTAATTGCTTTGATACTAGTTTTCTTTCCTTTTGGCAAATTTGGCTAAGGGTTTATTAATCTTGTTTATGCTTTCAGAAAACCAACTTCTTTTTAAAAATTATTATTATTATTTTTTTGGTACTGGGGATCGAACTCAGGACCTTGTGCTTGCGAGGCTGGTGGTGGAACCACTGAGCTAAATCCCCGGCCCCGAAAACCAACTTCTTGATTCATTGATCCATTGTATTTTTTAAATCTCCATTTCATTAATTTCTACTCTGATCTTTTTTTTCTACAAGTTTTGGATTTGAATTGCTCTTGGTTTTCTAAGACCTTGACATGCATTATTAGGTTATTTATTTGGGATTACTCTATTGTTTTTTATGTGGGCATTCACTGGTGTAAACTTCCCTCTTCAAACTGCTTTCATTTTGTCCCACCCTGTATGACATAGTACTGGAAAAATGGCTGTATAGTCTTTTGTCCTAGTATCAATGCTAAAAGAAACAAATTCATTTATCGTATGTAAAGAGATTTCATTTATTCAACAAACCTTTCTTTTTCTTTCTGGTTTCTCTTTCTTTCTTCCTTTTCTGGTACTGAGGATTAAACCTAGGACCTTTTCACTGAGCTACATCCCCAGCCCTTTAAAGTTTTTTCTGAGACAGGGTCATGGCAAGTTGCTTAGGCTGGGTTCCAACTTGTGACCCTGTTGCCTCAGCCATCCAGAGTGCTGGGATTACATCTGTGCAGCACCATGTTTGGCTTCAACAATTATTCCTATATTTTATACAGTTAGCCTGTAGAATATATATACATCTAATATATATATTATATATATATATGAGCTGGAGTGTGTATGTATCTGAATACATCCAAGTTCCCAACATATTTAGAGACAATGCTATAGGTAGGAACTCCTATGTGAGTTCTTGTGGGTACTGAGAGGCCACATTCTTTTTCCTTTCTTGATGCATTATCATTTTGTTCTCCTTGCTTCTTGGACCAAGGCACTATTTAGATCTTTCTGTTAACTTGTTCTACTTTCTTCACAGCTCTATCGTCTGTGTTGGAGCCTGCGCAATAGCAAAGAAGAGCGTGTTGACTTGGATGCAGGAGAGGAGGTCATCCAAGAAGATACAAAGGAGACCATTGAAATAGGTGATTGATGACTCAGGCCGTAAAAAGTTACTGCATAACAGCAACTTCAATGAAACCTACATCAAATATCTCATCAAAGCTCAAATCTCTCTCATGTAGGACGAAAGGAGTAGGGTGGGGCTGAGAGGAATAAATAGTTTTGGGAAGTTCACTATGAAGCCTGGTCAGGGTAGGGGAGGGAGATGCAGTCATCTAAGCTGCCTTATCCCTCATGTTGTATAATGCTCAGTGACTCAGTGTATGGGGTATTTGCCACCTTGCCCTGATTTAGGGCAAAGTCATGAATAGAAGAGTCAGAGATTTTGACACCACCTGTGCACTGAGAACAGATGGAACCAAAGCTATTCTCAGTTCTAGTGATGTCAGGGGTATGATATAGAGGCTTGTGGGATCTTACGTTTTACCATGTAAGACTTAGAAAATCAAATTTCTCTGGAAGCCTGAGATGTTGCTTAATCAGTGTCCAGAGGTTTAGCCCTTATATTACTGCTTTCTTCAGATTCAGTGTTGCAACTTTTCTTCCCCACAAGGGAGAAGTGCATGCATGTAGAATGGATGTGTGTGGCTTGCAGAAGTATGGGAGCTGAAGGTCATATGCTTTACCCGGTGTTAGGCTGGAGGGTCACCACTCCCTCTGAAGGATGGCACCGATGAAGTAGAACAAGTTCTGTATCTGATCAGGAATGTCACTGAATCCTAGGTCTGGAAAAGGTCCTACAGTAATTTATCTTATTACCTCATTTTATAGACACACAAATGGGGGCCCAGAGAGGGAGAGACTTTGTCAGTGGTCCTGGTTCTGATACAGTCTGCTCTTAAATCTCTAAGGACTTTTTCAGTTCTGAAACTCTGACTGTGAGTACTGGCGGAACATGGAGCCACAGCCAGTCGGCCATGGTGCTGAAAACAGGCAGCTCCTTCATGCTTCCCTGGCGCAGGCAGGCTTGAACCTGCCCCTACCTCTCCTACCTCTAAAGATGTCTCCATATTAAGTGAGAGTATTACAGATTTTAAAAGGACACGAATAAGAAGTATTTTGAGTGGTGGGAGATGTTAACGTGGAAGAGGAGGTTATTTTTTGTATTAGGGAACAGACTTAAAATAGATAGATCAAAATAACCCATGCAATTTTGACTCAGAGTGAGGAGGTAGGATAATGCAGAGATAGATTGTGGAATCTAGAATCAGGTGGAATTGGGACTGAATCTGGAATTATTTTCTTATTACTTCGGACAAGTGAATACATTTTTCTAAAGCTTAGGCTCCTCATGTAAAAATATTCTACATAATGCTCCGTACCTCATAGCACTGTTGGAAATAAGATAATGCTTGACTATAAGGATTGGCTGTAATTATCACCATCTTGATTGATTTTAAGGAAGAGTTTTTTTAAAAAAAATTGCATCTCTATTTCCTCAATATTTAAAAAAATTAATTTTATGCGATGGGAATTTATTTCAGTGGCACTGAGCCTGTCTTGCAAGAGCTTGGTCCTGAGTTCAATCCCTGGTACCCCCCAAAATTAATTTTATTGGTACATTTTAGGTATACAGTATAATGACATTCATCATTGGAAATTTGCACCTTTACATCTCTCTTGGTTCTTTTTTTTTCCCCATTCCCCTGCCCTCCCTTCAACCCCTCCATCCCTCCCTATTTACAAAGGCTTTGTTTCCAATATTTCCTTTCCTCACATTAATTCCATTCCCTTCTTTCCTTTTTCCAGTTCCTCCCACTTCCCCTTCCCCTTTGGGCCTTTTCTTCCTATTTCTTTTTTTTTTTTTGGTACCGGGGATTGAACTCGGGACCTCGAGCTTGCAAGGCAGGTGCTGGAACCACTGAGCTAAATCCCCGGAGCTTTTCTTCCTATTTCACAGTTAAGGAAGAGTTTTCTAATTGAATTGGTCTGGAAAGGGATGAGTGGCATCAGGGATGCTATAGAGGGGACTCCCACACTGGCTATAGAATTGGTGACATCTTAGGTTCAGCGTAACACTTGAATTCTCTTGGTTCTTGATGAGATCATGGTGAAATAAAATTGAACACCCTTCTGTACCGAAGCACAATAAGCTAAGCTCTCTTGAGGAACCATGAGTGTCACAATCACCATTTTCGGAGAAACAGCACCACAAGGAAGTCTTGCAGCTGCATTATCATCTCTGTATTCTCACCATCACCACCACCATCATGGTGTAATTGACAATGATAACATCATAACATATTTTAATTATAAATATCTTAATCTAGTGATTCATTTTTGTACCAAGTCATCATTTTAAGGCAGATAATGCCAGTATAATTTTTCTACTTTTACAGATGAGAAATAGAGACTTTTCCAAAGCCTGGTTATTGATGCAGATAACTATATATTTCTCACTTGGCCTGAGGAGGAGCCCAACTCCTTTTCCCCTTTTCCCACTTTCCCATTTCCCCCATTTCCCATTCCCAACTCATTTCCTCCTTTTCCATGGTTTGGTGGAGTGAGTCAAAAGGGAGAGGTACATGGAGGCTTGTCTCTCTTATGTGTGAGAGAAAAGAGAGAGAGAGGCAAAGGGAAGGGTTAGTGTCAGAGATCCCTGCAGTCAGGTTCCAGCACCCACCTGCCCAGTGTGTGATGCAGGCCTGAGAAAAAGAATACACTAAGAGACAGGACCAAGAGAGTGCAAGTGGGTTGCCAGGATGACCAATGCCCATGCAACCGACAAAGGTGCTGGACAGTCCCAGGCACCGACTTTTATTGGCAATCAATTGGGGTAAAGATGATGTGTGGTTTCTACGGAAATTAATGTAAACAAGGCTCAGAAAGGACAAGACAAAGCATTCTCAAATTAGGAACAGATTATACAAGATATATGATTGTAAGTAGAACGTTGTCCTTCTAGTCTGAAGGTTTGAGTTGTGGGAATGGAATTTGGGTGTGAGTTACTCTGACCTCGGCATGTAGGCTTTAGCTAGACTCACTTCTGTAAACAAGCCAACTCTTTACAGGCTGCCTTGGGCATAATCAATATTACAGTCCTCTGGCCAGGGATTTAGCTCAGTAGTTCCACCTCCTGCCTCGAAAGCGCAAAGTCCTGAGTTGGATCCCCAGTACCAAACAAACAAAGAAACAAACAATGAAAACCAAAAGCAAAACAGTCCTCTGCAAGTTAGCCTACTGTAAACCATTAGAATTGACAGATGTAGCCAGTTCACTCCTTAGTCATGCCATCCTCACTGATTTCCAGTGATGAAGAAAACAAGCATGAGCTTATGTATTTCAGATGTGGGTTTTCCATGTGCTTCGTACGTCAGTTCCCCAGCCCATTGCCAACACTTCTCTTTCATACACTATTACTTGATCTGACTGTTCTAAATAGAAATGAATGTATATTGATACTTGGTTGGTCATGGTGGCACACGCCTGTAATCCCAGCATTTGGGAGGCTGGGGCAGAAGGATTACCACCAGTTTGAGGCCTGCCTGGGCTATGTAGTGAGTTCAAGGTCAGCTTGAACTAAATAGGGAGATCCTGTCTCAAAAAAAAAATGTATCTTGATTCCGATAGAGGTAAAATTTAGGCTAATTGATCATGAGGATGTAGAATCCTCCTATTAACCTTGTTTTAAATGTAATTAAGTTAATTTGTATATGTTGTACTATTCCTATTCCTGAAAATGAGAAAATTGGGCAGTTACTACCAAATAGTAGACTAGATGCTCTATGGTGTGGCACCTCCCCTTGAAGTCTTTTCTATTTCCTCTTGGCTCTGTATGTGAATCCTTTATGTCTCACTCTCAACACAGAAGTTCCTGAGGAGAAAAAAGGATGCTTCAGGCGGGCCTATGACCTATTTTGTGGGCTGGACCAGAAAGGACCCAAGATGACCAAAGAGGAGGAGGAGGCCATGAAGAAGAAGTTGACAGACACCTCTGAGAAGCCTTTGTGGAGGACAGTAGTGAACATCAATGGCATCATCTTGCTGACTGTGGCTGTCTTTTGCCATGCATACTTTGCATAAGTCCTGCCTTCTGCCATAGACTTTCCAAACTGGCATCTTTACTGCCTCCCTTTAGTCCCATTCTGAAGGGAAACTGGTCTGTTGTAAACTTTGCCCAGATGGATAAACATGTACATGTGTAATTATAGGCAAGCTGGAGAAAAATCATTATTTTTCTGTTAACTTATGTATTTGAAGCCAATGTAATACAGTCCTATGTACCTAGTAGAGCTGCAGAAGGAAAGTTCAGTCATATCCAGGAAAAATCAAACTAAGAACAGAAGCCCTGTGATATCTGATGCAAGTCTGGTAATTCCACATGACAACCTTATTTATAATCCTTAAATATTACTTTTGGAGTTTGGTCTCCCTGGTTCCTTCCTTTCTGACCTTTTATCATTAAAAAAAAAAAAAAGAAATTCCTTTCCTGACATCATATCCCTGTATATTTTTCTCAGTGTAAAAAAAAATTAATCTGCTAGACTGATGAATGTGTGAAAGCTGAGGATGGGGACTTGACAGGCCCTTGTCCTAGGCATTTGTTCTTTGAGGGGGTGGAGGCCTCAGGAATGTAAAACTTACCCAAAAGGGAGGGTCCCAGGCCTCAGTCTCAGGCAAGTGGAGGAGCAGATAATCTTGAATCCAGAGAATTTTCTGTTCTTAAGTGTCCATTGTGCATTCCATGTGTTTGGGATTCACTCATTTTGACATTCACTCTGCTTGGCATATTTTAACCACTCCACGACATTTGTTGACTAAATAAATGATTTGGACATTTATTTATAGATACCTGTCTGGCCCTTGGTGTATGTGCTTTTTGTCTGCACAAAGTACATGGTATGGTGACCAATTTGGAATGTACTTGCCAGAGACTCTGCCTTAATGGTGCTGGTGTTGACATGTGGACTTAGAAGGTGACACTACATCACATGACAGAACAAATACATTTGCTGTGTGTCTTAGTTACTTTTCTCACTGCTGAGACAAAATACCCAAAATCTAAAGTTAAAGGAGGAAGGGTTTATTTAGCTCACAGTTTGTAGAGGTTTCCATCCATAACTGGCTGGCTCCAAGGCAGGGTGACATGGCAGACAGACACTGTAGAGGAGAAACAGTTCAAGGTGGGCAGAAGGCAGCAAGGCAACAAGGGATGACCACAGTTCTTTCTATTCCTTATAGCTTATCCAGGGTACTTAGGGCAGGTAGACTCACACCTTTAATCCTAGTGTCCTTGACCCTAGCATTGTGCCATGAATCAAATATAGCATCACACACTCTAGATCCAGCCACCTCTGAAAAAGCACCACCTATGACTGCATAGGGCTTTAGGGGCACACAAGCCATAATGCTGAGGCATCTGTCATCTCAAGAAGGCTGCCCTCTGCCAAGAAATACTGAAACAATTACTGAATCCTGTGATTCTCTTGTGAGTTCATGTGAGTTCACATGACCACAGCTATTTCTTTTTTAGGCGCTCAAAGCTTCTAGCTGGAAGGAGTGTGTTTCTTGTTGTAGTTTCCTAGGGGAAATTCTTTTAATGTAAATTAGATTAATCAATTGAAAAAGGTCTACGTGTGAAATCTCAGTTATGTGATCCCACTGAAGTTAAAGTCAACATGTTAGCTTTGACTGGTTTCAGGTTAGCTTAGAAAAGTGCTGAGTGTGGTTCCTCAGTATAGAAATTGCTCAACAGGTAAAAAAAAAAATGACTTGTTCTTATGGAAGGAAGGAAATCCAGAGAGCATTATTTGAAGTACCTTCTCATTCCCATTAAACTAGGCAGAAAAGAGGGAAAAGTAGAGTTTGACATGGTCAGAATTACTCAGAGGACTCAGTGTTGTGTGGAATTTGTGGTATGTTTTGAGTGGATAAAGGGAGAAGATTGAAAACCGGTGGGTGGAGTAGGCAATGTAAACTAGATTATCCCGGATGCCATTTCTGGCTTTGGTAATGATTACTGTATATATTGTAAATTATTTTGTCTCAACTATGTACTACATTTTTTCTCTTTGAAAGATGGAGAACTTGGTGCTTATAGCATGTGCTTGCTTCCTTAGGTGTGACAAGGACACTTTGAAAAGGGGATGAGAGATACATACATGAAAGAGGCTATACAGATACTATATTAAACTACATGATATTTCCATCAATTAAAATGTATTACTTTGAAAGCACAAGGTCCTGAGTTTGATTCCTGGTACCGAAAAAAATGTATTATTTTGATAAAATAAAAACCTTAAAAACTCTGATGTTTAGAGAGTGAACATAACATTTATAAATAGTGAACATAACTTTGGTTAGCACAAAACATGGATTAGGAAGCAGGATGTCAGAATAGTTGAGAATAGAATCCAGAAACTTGAACAATTAAAAAATTTAAGCTAAAGCTAGGCATAGTGTGCACCCTATAGTCTCAGCCACTGGAAAGGAAAAGGTAGGAGGATCACTTAAGTCCAGGAGTTCAAGATCAGTCTGGGCAACATAGCAAAACCCATCTCAAAGACGTGTAAGTTTGAAGATGATTTTCAGCTTCAAAACTTCTAGTAAGCATGAAGCCAGTAACTTTACCTCTGTAATATCCTTTTAGAATAGACTGAGCCAAAATGGATGCATATTGAGGCCATACTCTTAAGTGAAGTAAATAGGACACACATGTGTAAATACCGAATAGTTTCACTAGTGTGAGAAACTGAAAGTGTAAACAAGGGTTAAAATGATTAAAATGAATAATTGATAATTTGAAATAGGAAAAAAGGTCCAAAGAGGAAGAATTGAAGGGAGGGGAAGGGGAAAGGAAAAACTATGAGAAAAGAGAAAAAAAGAGAAATGAAATCTATGTAAATAGGGAAGGATGGAGGGGGTGAAGGAGGCACAGGTAATGGGGAAAAAAAATAAGCACCAAGATACATCATGTACAGGTACAAGCACCCAATGATAAATGTAAACGAATTGTATACCTAAAATGTACCAATAAAAGAACTTAAAAAAAAAAGAATAGACAGCCATTTGGGTAACTAGGGACCAGTAAATTATAAATTGTACTAGACTACTTTCTGGGGTAAGGGGAATTTCTAATTTTTTTGTTATCGGGGGTTGAACTCAGGACCTTGTGCTTGCGAGACAGGTGCAGCACCACTGAGGTAAATCCCTGGCCCAGAATTTCTAATCTTTTCTTCAAATTGAAGGTGGTGTTATACATGGGGCAGAATGACTGCTTATTATGCTGAGTTTATAGATCTGAAAACCCAGGACTTACTGGGCCAAAAAGCTTCTTTAAATACAGATAACTTTAAAAGGAATTTCTCAAAATGAAAAGACAAATTTCCTTCCCTGCAAAGGGAAGCCCTTGACTGACGTGGGAACGTTACTTACTTCTTTGTAGCTGAGTCAGGCATTGATGTTCACTTAGAAACATTTCTAACTTTGGAACTCACTAAAGCTCATTCTTTCCTAGGGTCAAAACCATCTCCTAAATGATGCAAAGCGGCTTGATTATTTTCTCCCAAGCAAACCTTGAGAGAAAACTGCATGTGTGCTTGGTTGGAAGAGAGCAGTTTTGTATCATTTCCTCCCATTGCACTCCAAGAAAAATCTCACTTACCCTGTAGACTGTAATATGGTGTGCGAGGTTGAGTGAGCTGCCCTTATTTTAGTAGATTGGTGGGAATAGGATTAATGAGGTGTAAATTAAGTCAAGGGGTTTGGCTCTGTTTCAATGGCTATAAGTGATGCTGATGAATTTCCTGTCATTCCAGAGACACACGCTGCTTCCTTAACCCAACCAGCTTTTGTAATTCTAACAGCAATTCAATAAAAAACAGGTAATTTAATGCAGTTCATCCCATACTTGGAAAAGTGATAGCAAATATATATCCATCTGATAAACGACCTTCTTTAAACATGACTGCTGGCAGCTCACACATACACATTTCAGAATTAGACAAAGGGCTTCTTAGAGTAGCGGTTCTCAAATTATAGTTTGCATGAGAATCCCTTGGAGGGATTGTTTATGGACAGATTACTGAGTCCTGTCCCCAGAGTTCCTCATTCAGTAGATCTGGGATGGAGCTTGAGAATATGCACTTCTCATAACTTCATAGATAATTTTGCTGCTCTGGTCTGTAGATCACACTTTGAAATCCAAAATTTAGAGCTAACTTCTAAATGGGTTTCATTTTTATCACCAAGGTAAACAGAACTGGAGGGACATTTCTCTCCCTCCCCACCAGGCTAGGTTCTCCTTTGAGATTTTTACTGAATCTTAGAACCAAAGTCTTTTCAAACCAAGATGTAGGTATGGCTGAGGTACATTACAATGCTAAGGAATAGAAAAATCCAACCTCATTAATTTTTAGGGTCCATTTGCTTAATCCTGGTCCCCTTTAGATGTACAAGAGCCAGAATACTTTCTTGAAATTTCTTTTTCAAATAGATAAAATTGTAATATTTGTGGTATATAGCATGATATTTGATATATGTGTACATTATGGAATGATTAAATCAAGTTAATTAGTATATTCCCTCCTACACTTATTTTCTGTAGCGAGAACATTTAAAATTTACTTAGCTATTTTAAGCACATGATTTATTACTATTGACTATAATCAGAATATTATATAGTAAAGCTCCTGAACTTTTTAAACCTGGATAAGTGAATTTTTTTGCATCCTTTGACAAATATCTCTCTCCTTAATTCCTTCCTTTCCCAGACCCTGGTAACTAACCATTCTACACTCTGCTTCCATCTGTAGGTTCCATCTACAAGTGAGTGGGATCATTTGGTATTTGTATTTCTGTAGCAAGTCTTGACATCTAGCTTGACTTTCATGCTTGGTACTAATTCTGTATTCTCTATATAGTATATTCTGGTCCTTAAAGTCAGTCTCATGGATGGAAATATTTTTGCAAGTGGGGATGGGGCTGAGAGGAGAAAGCACTAACATTGATTGGGCATCTTCTGTGGGTCTGCCCTTTAAGCAATATCAAATGACCTCAACTAATCTTTACAACAATTCCATGAAGTCTGCACTATATACATGGAGGAGATAGAGGTTCACAGAGATTCAAAGAGCTTACTAATCATGGCCTAGGAGGGGTTGACAGTCCCTCCTCTCTGGCATAGAGTATCCCGGGGCAGCCTTGTAACAGTAATATAACATCTCTTCTCCAACCCAAAACCCTGGAATAGCAGTGGGATGTGGACAAGCAAGGAGACCAGCAGCTACTGAGC